GGAAACCTTGGATTTGAGAGTTGAAATAAGAGAGGAGTTGATGATGAGGTTGACAGAGCAAACCAAATACTTAGCATAGTAAAAATCGTGTTCACAGAAAACAACATGATGAGAAGTAGTAACCTTTTGTATTTCAACATGAAAGCAAAGATAACTTTTGTGATTGTCTGAATATCCGATGGAATCACATTTAGTGGAGCAATGCCTCAATTTGTTATTAATTTGGAAGATAGATTTGGATAACATGTACAACCAAATACCCACAAATGATCATATTTAGGCAACTTGTTATAAAGAAGTTCAAACATATTCAAATTCTGAATAGAAGAGGAAGGTAGTCTGTCAATAAGATGTGCAACAATCTTGAGAGGTTCTATCCGAAAATAGGAGTCATGGAGGCCGGAAAAATAATGTATAAACCATATTGACAATGGTGAAGTTTTTAGAGAAAGTAAACTTATAATTTTTTTATTTCTTGTTTTGTTTACATTTAGAAGATATATATATAGATTAGTTATCTTTATTTTATTTGAACTTTAATTATAGGATATAATTATACTATTAGAACTCTAAATAATATAATATTCTACTTAACATAAAATCCTTATCAACACTCTCCCTCAAGTTGGCGTAAAGATATTACACATGCCTAATTTGCAAATCAGGTTCTGAAGAGATTTGTTGTATAGTCCTTTAGTGAAAATATCAATCACTTGATCGTCAAAAGATACATGATATAAGCATAGAGAGCCACCAACCATCTTCTTTTTTATGAAATGTCGATCAATATCAATGTGTTTTGTCCGATCATGTTAAACTGGATTATGAGCAATATTAGTTGTTGCTTTATTGTCACAAAACATGGATAATTTCTCATTTTTAAGCAGTTTTAACTCCCTTATTAGCTTTTGCAACCATAGTACTTCACATTCTCCTTGGGACATTGCTCTATATTTTGCCTCAGCATTGGAGCAAGTAACCACATTTTGTTTCTTACTTTTCCATGTGATTAAGTTGCCTCTTACAAGTGTGTAGTAATCTGTAGTTGATCTTCTATCATTTAGGGAACCAACCTAATTGGCATCTGCAAATGTTTCTATTTTAAGGTAATCATGCTTAGAAAAGAGCAGACATTTTCCTGGTGTAGACTTCAGGTATCGTAATATGCAGAAGACAGCATGTAAATTAGTCTCACGAGGATCATGCATGTACTAGCTCATAAGACTAACTGCATATGCTATATCGGGTCTGGTATATGAGAGATAAATGAGTCTTTCAACTAGTCTCTGGTATCTTCCCAAGTCAGTTGATGTACCACTACCTGCTTGCAATTTGTGGTTGCCTCAATAAGTGATTCTGCCGATTTGTTACCCATCATATCAGTATCTTCTAATAAGTTTAGAATATATTTCATTTGAGAAATGAAAATCTCTTTATTAGATCTGACAACTTCAATCTTCAAGAAATATTGCAATGTTTTTAAATCTTTTATTTCAAACTCTTGAGTAAGAAGTTCCTTCAACCGAGCCATCTCATTTGTATCATTTTCAGTCACCACAATATCATCCACATAAATAATGAAAAAAGTGATTTTACCCTCACAATGTTTAATGAATAAGGTATGATCCGCATTACTTTGTTGATATCCAAAAGAGATCATAACTGTTCTAAACCGTTCAAACCATACTCTTAGAAACTGCTTCAATCCATATAAAATCTTTTTTAATTGACAAACTTTTCCTTGTATTCTATCATCTTCAAATTCAGGTTGGAATTTACATATACACCTCTTCTAAGTCTCCATTGAGGAATGCATTTTTTACATCAAACTGTTGTAGATCCCAATCAAGGTTAACTGCTTAAGACAAAAATATCCTAATTATGTTCATATTCGCAACAGGTGCAAATGTCTCCTGATAGTCAATCTCATAAGTCTAAGTAAATCCTTTAGCCATTAATGTAGTTTTGTACCTTTCGATCGATCTGTTTGTTTTGTATTTTACAGTGAACACCCATTTGCAACTAACTATTTTTTTTCCTTGTGGAGGTGAAACAAGTTTTCATGTTTCATTCTTTGTCCATGCTCTCATTTCTTCAATCATGACTTCCTTCCACTTGAGATCTCCTAAAACTTCTCTCCAATCCTGTGAAATAGACACAGAGGAAACAGATAAGAAAAAATCTCTATAGGAGGGAGATAGAGAGTCATAGGAAACAAAGTTAGATATAGGGTGCTTAGTGCAAGTTCTCGTTCCCTTTCTAATAGCAATAAGTTTATTTGATAAATTATAAGAGAAAAATAATTTACCAGTATTTTATGGAACCAAAGAAGATTCTTGACCTAGAACAGATTGCATAATAATTTTTTCAGACTTCTCTATCCTTGAATACCTTTTCAAGTATAATTTATCTATATGTCCAACACTATTTATTTTCTTGATTAAAACTTTCTGTAATAGAATTCTCCCATTGAATATGATTCTCAATCGATACCCAATTAGGTATCATTTCTTCCTTCTCACTCTTCTCCTAAAGAGGTGTTGGGTTTGAGTTGAAGTAAGGCTCATTCTATCTAAAGGTAACATTTATAGTTATAAAATATTTTTTAAATGGTGGATGATGACACTTATAGCCTTTTTGGGTAGAAGAATATCCAACAAATACACATTTAAGAGCTCTAGGTTCTAGTTTACCCACATTTCTAGCATGAATAAAGCACACACATCCTTTTGGGGGAACAATATAGGAAGTTTTTCCTTGCAAAACTTTTATATGACTTTTAAAATTCAGGATCCACAAAGACATTCTATTGATAAGATAGACAGCTGAGAGAGCTGCATCTCTCCAATAACTCTTTGATAGATTCATGGTGAACATTAGTGATTGAGATATCTTTAGTACGTGTCTGTTTTTTCTTTCAGCAACTCTATTTTGTTCACTAGTGTAGGCACAATTTGTTTGATGAATTATCCCATTTGACTCCAAGTAGGCACGGAACCCACTATCCATATATTCTGTACCATTGTCAGTTCGCAGAATCTTAACTTCAGTACCAAACTGTGTACATATCATTTTGTAAAAAGATTGAAAACGTAAAAATATATCATTTTTTGCTTTTAATAGATGATTCCATATTAATATAGCACAACAGTCAATAAAAGTAACAAATCATTTATGACCGGAAATAGAGTATTCTGAGTAGGTCTCCACACATCAGAGTGAATAGTTTTAAAAGGATCAATACTTCTATTATTACTTAAATGATAAGAGCTCATCTTTTGTTTAAGAAGTTTGCATTTATCACAAAATAAAGATTTCATATAAGTTTTTTTAAATAATTTAGGATATAATTTTTCTAAAATAAAAAAGGAAGGATGTCCCAATCGTCGGTGCCATTGTAGTATCTCCATATTGACTTCTTTATTTCTAATGGTTGCTTGATTTCCAATTAAGTTCAGATGTCTATTCAAGACATATGAGCCATCTTGCAGTCTACCAATGCCAATCCTCTTCCTGGTTTGATGATTAGGAAAAAATTCAATTTTACAGTTGAGATCTCTAGTTATGACACTAATAGATAAAAT